CCATGAGCTCTGAAGTCGACTGGGGTTCGGGGCCTCGGCGCGCGGGCGGTGGAGTCGGAGAGGGATGGCGAGGGCGAGGCCGGCGGCGAGTCAGAGCTGCTAGAGGGGATGTCAAGGGCGGCAGCGAGTGTAAATTAGGGTTTTACTGTGGTAAAAACAAAGAGAGGCTGTAAAAAATTTTTATATCAAACATCGCTGACGGACTTCCCGTCGGCAACGTTTATTTCCCGTCGGCGATGTTTACATCGCTGAAGGTTATAACGCATTTGTGACGGCAACAACGCTGACGGGAATTCCCATCGGTAAATTCCCGTCAGCGTTGTTGCCGTCAACGAAACATGGTTTTCCACTAGTGAATGAGATAATAATTTGTATGGGGCCTAAAGACCACCTACTTTCAGCAGTATATCTCATGCTAATTCCCGTCAGCGATATAAACATCGCAGACGGTAAATTCCCGACAGCGTTGTTGCCGTCAGCGAAACATGGTTTTCCACTAGTGAATGAGATAATAATTTGTATGGGGCCCAAAGACCACCTACTTTCAGCAGTATATCTCATGCTCAAAAAAATGAGGTCACCCGTCAAATCTTTGTTAGTTAATACATCAATTCTGCTCAGGCTCTCACCATCAAATGACTGCGGACTGCATTACCTAACCATGCAATTATGACCTGAAACCACAACAACTGTCAAACCCTCCAAAAAAATAATATGATTAGTCAAGGCTTAAAGTTTATTAAATAGGCCTCTGTGCCTTTATCATAGTTTTAGGAGACAAGAGCCAAATAGTGTGATTATAACCTGAAATCATCAAATAGGCCTGTATCATAGTTTTAGGTACATAGACAAGTGCCAAGTATTGTGATTAGTCAGGGCTTAGGCTTTATTAAACATGTTTTAAAAATAAAAAGAGAAGCTCAGTGCACAGAGACTCCTGCGAGTGTGGGTCAAGAGAGGGCTAGATGTACACAGCTTGTCCTTTATTATTGTGGAAAGACTGTTTTTACGGTTTGAATCTGCGAGCTGTAGAATCGTGGGCCTTAGGCTAACCCTCAAATATGTAATATAAAAATAGGTCTTAAATATATAAAAATAATCTCTCTCTAATTTTCATATGCATTATTAAATAGGGAGAGGAGCACCACACTTGACCCAAATGGTTAGAAAATTTCAATGACTCGCGATTTTGGATTCGATTCTTAGTGGCTTCATCATAACAAATGAAAAAAAAAACAGAGAGAGAGAGAGAGATTTACATGAGAATCTATCTAATATAAAGCTTTGTATGTGAGTACAAAAACATATAGTTATCTATCTCCAAGTTGTTAGGTCGACTACATGAATTCTATCCTTAGGATCAATTATGTTAAGGATCATCTCTTTTATTAAGTTAATCAGTATCATATCCTTCTTAAATTGCTTTAAACCAAGTTTTAGCTTAACGTACTCTAGTGTTCTTTGTTCCATTAAAAGTGATTACTGCCAATTATGCTATTAGCATATTTTTAACTCTATACTATAATCATTAGACTTGAGAGTACTATAAGACTGATGGTGGAGTTCTTTTAATTGAGAGAAGACTGGCGGTTATGTTCACTGGTCTCTTATTAATTTGATGATGCATTGTTTATTATATGATCAATATTTTTGAATCTTGCATCTAAAAGGCCAGTGACTGATGATGCATTGTTTACAAATACACAACCACTATTGCTCAAAGGATACTACAACTCATTAGAATTTAGAAAGTTTCTGAGCTACAAACAGACACAAATGTGTATATAGTAACAAACCAAAGGCAGACATCTCAATGTGACTCCTTAAAAGGCCCTACTCCCCTCTCAAAAGGCTAAAATCCCCAAAGAAAAATAACCCACAGTAGCTAAAAGAGAGAACACCTTGGGCAAAAGCCAGCTCATGAGCAAGTCCAGAACTCAGCTTTCTTAATCTTGGAGATGCTCTGCAGGACCCCAGCAGGAGACACATGACCCATAACAGTGACCCTCTTGGACTCTAGATCTATGCTGAAGGAAGTCACCCCTGCAATTAGCTAGAAATTATTAGTTTATACAAAATAGTTTACGTGAGTGTGGAAAGAAAAATACCAGTCTTTGTTTGTTTTCTTTTAATTTGGATGTATAATTGAAGAGAAAAAAGAATGCACCTTCCATTTTGGAGATGTGCTTTCTTAGCTTGCCTGCGCATCCTTGGCAATGGATTGACACCCTCATGACCACCACCTGCCAAGTAAATAAAAAATAATAAAAATTAATTAATTAATTAATTAAGGGGGAAAAAATTTAGATATATGTAGTAGATGATGAAAATATGAAAAGCTGGCATATAATAATGTTTTAATTAGATTTCTATAGTAGAAATACCACCAATTTCAAGAAGAGCAATGGCCATATCATTAAATTATTATGACCTTCTAGTTTGTTTACAGGATAACGCGCTCTAATTATGAGTTTAATTTAATTGGATAGTATGCTTTCTAATTTAATTAGTGTTTTCTCCAATTTAACAAAATACAGTTGGAAATAACTTAAAAAATCAGTCCATTACCACAAAAACCGCAAATATCGTCTAATCTAGGTTCAGAATTAATTTCTAGTTTATTTATAGTATTTTGTACATAACAAAATTCACTATACTTGAGCATTAATTTTGCATTTCTGCTCACAAAAACCCTTAAATAATTCACTAAAAATTAAAAAAAAAGTGGTACTGGCTAGATTTTTTTTTATTTTAAGATGTAACGTTTTTCTCTCTTATCAATATCCTCCAATAGTAATAGTAGTATCCATGTATACTCGCCGATTAACCAAATCACACCATTTTAAAAATGACTTCAAAAAAAAAAAAGCCAGGCCAGTACCATAAACACCACAATCATTATCTAATCACAGGTCACAACTAAATTTCTAGTTTTCTCCTAGAAATTATGCAAAACAAATAAATAAAATAAAATAAAATAAAATAAAAATCTGCAGTAGTAGCAAAAAACTATTTTGGCCCCAGACCTGAAAGAGCTGGTCCCTGGTAGAAGCAACAGGGGGAGCAGCGACGCTGGCGGTGGCATGGGTGTCGCTGCAGACTGCGGGCCTGGGCTTGGGCCTCTGTGGGGGCCGCTCCCTCTTGGTCACCATGGATAGAGTCACCGCC